TAACAGATATATAGGGTGCAATTATAGCAGTCAAGCTAATGAGCATAATCATCTTACAAATGGTGACTTTTGCAGCTGTTTGCAAACAAAGTCACTTTCTGCCTGAGTTGCAGCACACGGGGAGCCACCTTTGAGGCTTCTCAGAAGCCCTTTCCTTTCTCAACTTGGGCACCAGCACCAAGCCATGGCGTTCTGGAGAATATAAAATGTCCTTCCGTCTTCGCCATTATCCATCGGTACAGAAGACTGGCGGGTGGGGGAGGGGGGAGCTGGATTCACAGACCGCCCGCCCAGTGACACAGAATGACATAGTGACATAGTGTTATGTTATTTTTGAGGACAATGAAGTGAGCCCAGTGAGGGGGAAGGACAGCTAACACTGGAGAGCTACCTGAGGTACCGTTGGCAGCCTCCTGTTGCCCAGAAACAACCTCTCAGAGAGTGGATGTCAGGTAAAATCACTTTCCCCAGTAAACAGCATTACTAAGATCTATGGATATGGGATTAGCCTCATTCCCTGAGCGCACAGGGCAAACCAATGCTTTGGTGACCTTGACCCAATCACTAAGGACTAACCCCAAACCTCCCTGTCTTCATTCCTCTCTTTTCCTTCGATTTCCTTTCTTCCTTTCCGTGCGTTCTCGTTTTTATTTGTTCTCTGACAATTTTGTGTATGTGCAGTGTGTATCTTGGTCAGATTCACTCATCATCACCCTGTCTGGTTCCCTCCCGTTTCTGTTGTGAACCCCTCTTCCTGACAAGTCTCCCCACTTCCGTGACTTTAGTTTTGACCCAGTGAGTTTAGCATGGGGAGTGGTTTACTGGAGCATGGGAAACTTACCAGTAGCTGCACTATTGAAGAAAAATGACCCTCCTCCTATGGCAGTCAATACTTCCCAGTATCTTCAGTTAGTCAAAAGCTGCCTTACACACACACACACACACACACACACACACACACACACACAGGCTCACACATTTAATCCCAGCACTCAGGAGGCAGAGGCAGGTGGATCTCTGGAACTTCAAGGCCAGGCTAGTCTACAGAGTGAGTTCCAGGACAGCCAGCGCTACATAATGAAACCTTGTCTCAGGGAAAAAAAAAAAAAAAAAAAAAAATTTCCTGGATTTGTATTCAGAATTTGAGTGTAATTACTAAGAACCTTCCAGCTTCTGTGTAAACAATTAGAACCAGGAAACTGAAATCAAGTCTTGGCTGCTCTGAGCCTAAGCCTACAGATTCTGGGAAAGCTGCTTAACCTCTCAGAGGCACACCTGGTTCAACTATAAAATAAGAAACACCCAGTGAGGACAGATTGGCCACACCACCCACCGCATGCCTACTACAGCTGGGGACATAGGAGCGTCTGGAAGTTTGCCTGCCTCTGCCTCACCTGACCCCAGGAGGAGGCACAGTGCTACTTCTGTCCCTGCAGCCACTGACAGAGTCAGGAAGGTTCTGAGTCACTATGCCACTCTCTAAGGGGAGAGGTTTGATTTGCATACACACTCACATCCACAAACAAAAAACCCAAGTGTAATCACCATGGCCTCACTGGAGACCAGGGTAGGGACCAGAATCCCTGTGGAGTGTTTCTTCTCTTGTTATCTTTTTTGTTCTATTTCTTTTTGTTTGGCTTGGTTTACATTTTTGCTGTTGCTGTTGCTTTTCAAGACAGGGTTTCTCTGTGTAGCCCTGAATGTCCTGGAACTCACTGTGTAGACCAGACTGGCTTTGAACTCACAAAGATCAGCCTGCCTCTGCTTCCTGGGTTCTGGGATTAAAGGCGTGACACCACCAGCCAGCTTCTGCTTTGGTTTTTTTTGTTTTGTTTTGTTTGTTCTGTTGTTGTTGTTTTAGACAAAACTGGCTTCGGGCTTGCTCTGTAGCCTAGGCTGTCCTCAAACTTTGCGATACTCATGCGTCTTAATACACCTGAAGGTTACTGTGGAGAGTGCATGAGTGGGCGTGAAGGTTACAGGAGAGAGTGATGGGAACTTGATGCCAGTTTCCGTGTCAGCTACCGGGGTGTTTACACTATACAGTGGTGGCCAAACTGATTATTTGATGATTTCATAATATGAAAACGTAATCTGGTCGAATTCTCCTCCCATGCTCTCTTATCACCCTCAAACTCCTGCCAAGCCCCACCTCTTAACAACAATTCGCCTCCCATTTTCTTATCGTTTTGAGTTTAGCTAGGGCTGCGCCTTCATGAGCATGGGTGTGCAACTTTCCACTGGAGTAGGGGTAACTCCCAAGTATCTATACCACTAAAGACATGACTTTCCTTCCCAGCAGCCCTCAGCAGACAAGTGCTTCCCTGGAAGGGGCTGTATATGCTCATTATAGTAACTGCAGGGTTTTTCCACTATTCTGGGAGGGGGGGTTGCCATCATGCCACAGTACGAGTACAGAGGTCAGAGAACAACATGCAAGAGTCCATTATCTTTCCACCGTGTGGATTCTGAAGATAGAACTCAGGTTGTCAGTCTTGGCAGCAAGGCCTTTACCCCCTAAGCCATCTCGCCCACCATTCGGTTTTTATAACCCTGCTGGAAAACGAATGTTGGTCATGCACATACACACACTAATATATACACATTGCTGCTATAAAATTGTGTTTATGGACTTTGCACATTAAAACACCTTATGCTTATTATTTCTCTTGGAATTTTAGTTTGCAAGTCGGTGCACTGGAAACTGAAAACACTGAACATGTTTATCAAGCTCTTACTAAAAGACAGAGAGGACTGGTTGGCAATGCGGCCTTGCAGAATCTGGGGTCAGGAGGAAAAAGTGGTCTTACATGTGGGCTCTGCCTCTCTCCATGTGCGATTCCTCTTCATGAAGAAAGAACACCTAATACTGCTTAAGGATTAAGTAGAGTGACGAAAACCATGTGTATTTAGCTCAGAATAATGTATCGATGAGTGATTAGGGAAACTGCTCACGTAAGACACTAAGGCTGGAGTCCCTGGTTACAGCAGAGAGCCTAGACCTGTTCAGTATTGTGCTAAAACACTCCCTAGCCTGGGGACCGCAGGAGCCAGGCTTAAATACAAACCTTGTTTTTTTTTTTTTTTTTTTTTTTTTTTTCTTTCCAATCTACGTGACCTTAGTCGAGGTTCAACCTTTTTGCACGTCAGCCACTTGTTTAACTGGCCTGTATCGATGGTATTAATTACAGTTCTTAGAGCAGTGACTCCTCCCGCCAGTGTGACAGCCTCATTGGTAGGTATCCTTATCTACATTTGATAGGCAGCTGATTCTGAAAGGAGTCAACCCTGGCCAGGGACACCCAGCTACTGCATGACGTAGAACCTGGCTCCACAGTCAACTGTGTCTGGTTTACCTGCCACCTACCTCACCTGGGAAGGTTAGAGGAAACTCACTTTGAACAGTCCTATGCAAACATTGTGTTATGATGGCGATCCTCAGTTACAATAAGTAACTGACTAAAAGACTTCTGATTTGTCCTTAGAGCCTGGGAACCCTGAAAGGACAGAGTTATACTTTCAAACCTCTTTTCTTGGGGCTGGAGAGATGGCTCAGGGGCTAAGGTGGCTAAAGAGCACTGACAGCCCTGGTTTGATTCCCAGCACCCACAAGGCAGCTAACAACCATCCCTAACTCCAGTCCCAGGGAGTCTGGCTGCACACACATATGCACGCGCGCGCGCGCATGCACACACACACAAACACACACACACACACACACACACCACCTACAGAAAATAATGGCTTTCATCTAAAAAAAAATTCATAAAAACAACTCTTTTCTTACCGAAACTTTGCCTTGACCCCAATTTCACTTAAACAGACCTGATAAACAACTAATTTTAAAAAGAAAAGAAACGCACACACAGTGCTAATTGCAGAACAGATGTGTGCAGGCCGCTTTGTGTCAACTGGAAGTTGTTCTCAACACTCTGGAAGCCCATAGCACTCCTGAAGAGACGTGTGCATGTGTGTGTGTGTGTGTGTGTGTGTGTGTGTGTGTGTGTGTGTGTGTGTTTTCTTTCATGTTCACACAACAGTGAACAAAATGCTTTTATGTGTGCCCCTGTATGTGAAGGCCAGAGGATTGTCCAGAGCGTTGTTTCTTGGGCTCTGTTCACTATTTTTTTTTTTTTCTTAAATGAGTTCTCTCAGAAGCCGCAAACACTCCAGTAGCCTCGGCCGGCTAACACCCGCAGGACCAACCTCCCTAGACCCTGAGTTCACCAATGGGTGTCAAAGGGCCTGCTTTCTTTCTGTTGAGTTCAGGAATTTGAATTCAAGAGCAGAAGCTCCAAAACACGCATGCATTTGCAGGTTGCTCTTTTGGGTAAACATGAAGGATCCACAAAAATTCCCATAAACTAATGCACAAGATAGGACCCAGGTCAACTCCAGCTCCCTTAATTTCTTGGTCGCTTTTAAGATACCTTGGAAAAACGAAGCTGGGCTCTGTGAAAACTGTGTTCGCTAGTTACCTCCCGTGGAATAACAACCCGGGTTTTTAATTCCTATGGATAACCACCAAAGCATTTCTTTCTGGGTCTGTTAGGAATAACAGGGGTGGGCAAAGTGAGCCCTAGGCAAAGCCTTCCCCATTCACGTTGGGTGTGTCCCGGAAGGAACTTCCATTTTCCCTCCCCTTTATCTGTAACAGAAAAAAGCCTAAGAGTAAAGTCCAGGTCCCCTGGAGGGCATGAGTTTGTCGGAGCATATCTGAGTCCAGGAAGGTGCTGGTGCACATCCTATCCTGCACGACTGGACCTGGGCACATCCATGGCCGGCCGACTCCTTAACAAAAGAAAACCTATTCGCCCCATTCCGGTGCCCCACAATCCGGATCTGAGCGGATAGTTCCATCCGGCCCTAGGACTGCCCTTTTCCCTGACCACTCTCTTCCCCTGAGACCCTGGGGACCGACCCCACCCTGCGGGCGACTTGAGGCTTGGGTACTGCGCCACCAGTTTGGGCGGAGAACAAGCTGCGCTCCCTGCGCTTACCTCGGAAGGCTCGATCTCAAAGGCGCCGGCGATCTTGGCGTAGAGCTCCTCGATGCTGGAGAACTCCTCCACTCGGCCCGTGGCGCTGCCGTGCGCCAGTTGTGCGTAGAACACCAGCCTGCGCGCGGGAGCCGGGGGTCCCGGGACACCCTCGCGGACGCCCGACCTGTCGCCCTCCACCAGCTGCGCCGTCTCCTTGGACTTGGCTGCCTTCTTCTTCCTGCGCAGTCCAAGCGGCATCTTGCAGGGCCGATGGCCTGGACCACCTGTGCTGCCCGCCCGCGCCAGCTTCCTGGCCTCGGACAGCGGACTTTGCGCTCCGGACCCGGGCTCCGCACAGGTGACCGCGGCTGCTGGACCAATGGCAGCTGCGCTTCCGCCTGGAGGCGCGGGCTTCAGGCCCCCTCCCAGTGGAGGATAGGGCACCTGGGCGAAGCAGCCACCGGCTATCGGGGCTCGGGCAGAATGAAAGCTGTGAATGGCGTGGCTGGTCAGTTCAGTTCCCTTCTTGCCCAGGCCGCCTCTGAGTGAAAATCGATTTCCGTGAAGGCCTGGTGATGCTAACAAAGAAATCTTAAAAGTAGCATGTTGGCCCTGCCTCACCTTTCAGAATCTGAACACTCAGTTGGGTGTGGTGGTTGGGGCCAGTAATTCCCCAGGCTATTAAGGCTGGGGCCGCGAGTTCGAGGTCAGCCTGGGCTACAGAATGAGACCCTCATAAACTATAATATTTGCAGGAAAATTAAAGGATGGAAAGAGGACAGACACTATGTTACGTCCTCTACATTGTGTGGAGTAGGCTACGCTCAAACAGGAAAAAAAAGCTGCATGTTTTTCTTTTCCCATGCATAGAATCTGTAAGCTGGAGGAGACCCTGCAAGCAGAAAGGAAGCTGTGAGAAGGCGGAATGCATACTTCAGGAAAGCAGAGCGAGGAGGAGAGGGGACAGCGGGCAGCAGGGGGACACACAGAAACAGACAGCAATGACCTGTGTGCATGGAAATGCCACAAGGAAGCTCACAACTCTGTGCAAACTTTAAAAGGGGGAATTGTAGGACACATGGCATTTTCGGCCACGGTCAGGTAACCACAGCTTGTGGCTTTGTCTACAGGGATTTACACAGAAGTCACCTCTCCTCACCGCATCTGATTTCCACATTCAAGTCTCTCTTTTACCAGTGTGTGTGAGTGTGCGCGTGTGCGCGCTATCCTGAAAACATTCGTCAGTATACTGAAAGTTTGTATGTGGAACTCAGAGAACAACCTTGGGTGCCAGTCCTCACCTTCCACCTTGTTTGAGACAAGGTTTCTTGTAGGCCGCTATGAACACCAGGGCGTTTGGCACAAGTTTCTCTGAGGTTTCTCCCTTCTCCACGTCCCATCGCAGCGCAGATGTACTGTGACTGCGGACTCTACAAGTCAGGCTTGTAAGGACTCTGGGGAACCCTGGCTCTGCCATCACAGTTGCGCCACAAAGCGCTTGGAGCCATCTCCCCAGCCCAAGGCTGTGTACTTTTAAATTAGTATTGATTTCTTCCTCGGCCCCTGGGGCCACAGGCGACCAGTACTACACTGTTCTAGCCTTGCCGGTTCCTCCCAATGCCGTGTTTCCCCTGCTGTTAGCCTATGAGCAGACTGTGCCCCCACACACCCTGAGAGGCGTGCGCTCCCGTGCAGTCAGCCCCTGTCATTGCACCCCGCCCACCAGGAGCCTTGGCCCCTCCTCCACTTTCGCTGAGCTTCTGCTTTCGAGCCGTCCCCGCCCCTGTGCTCTCGGGGAAATGGCTGCACTTGGTCTCAATTCCAGACAGTGTTAGGCAAACCACACGATCGCCAGGTCAGTCCAATGGGAAGGCTATGCACGGTCTAAGACTGTCAAACTGACCTCGTTCTTTCTACTGAATGTTTTCTCTTTATCCTCAACTAAAGTGAATAGACCCAGCATGCATTATGGTCCACGTCTGAATCATCAAGCCAAGTGTTTTCATCGCCTCTCCTGGGAGCCCTGTCCTCAAAATCCATGCTTCTCGGTGTAAAGTTGGCAGATGTTCTGGGGTGGGGTGAGGGGGGGGGGAGAAAGGACTCTGTGATTGTGACTGCGTCTCCAGACTGCACTGCTCTCCACCAGGCCTCAGAACCCTAGACTGCTCTCTAAGGCTGCACTGAGCTCCTTATATTCTCTCTACTGCTGGGATTAAAAGTGTGAGCTGTTTCTCTTTTAGACTCATTCACCCTCGTGGAGCCCTGGGTGGACTTGAACTCACAGAGATCCATCTGCCTCTGTCTCCTGAGTCCTGGGAGTAAAGTGTTGCCCAGTTTCTATGGCTAACTGGTGTGGCTGCTGGGATTAAAGATGTGTGCCACCACAGCCTGGCCTCTGTGGCTGTGGCTAGCTTTGTATTCTGATCTCCAGGCTAGCTTTATTAAATCATAAACAATATATCACCACACACACAAGTACCGCGAACATATTGAACATTTTGGTTCATCTGAACGACTAAATCCAAGATTCTACCACATGATCTCAGAGTTCAAACTTGCCTGTGTGGCTCTGATTTATACAGCACCAAATACTATCATCTGGTCCTGGCCTAATAAGAAAAGAGGAAAGCCAGATGTAGTCGCAACCCCTGTACAGCTAAGGTAAGATATAGCTCAAGTTTGAGACTAAGCCAGGTAAGGAAAGAAACAGTGGGGGTTTTGTTTGTTTGTTTGTTTTGTTTTGCTTTTTTAAGTAATAAGCAAAGGAAAGTCCAAATAAATGGTGCACTCCATTCAAGTGAAAGTTAAAGAACTTGTCATTGCATTGTATAAAGAGTGACAGAGAAGTCTGATTTAATAAGAGCAGGACTGCAAGTCATCACAGGGCCTGTGGCAGATGCATTGTGAGGCTCTGGGAACATGGGGTGTGAATCTTAGGAAACCTGTAAGGAGAAAAATGTATGTGGGTGTTTCTTTTCTTTTTTGCCTCTAACTCACAATCCTCCTGCCTTAGCCTTTGGACTGTAAGAATAGCAGAGTTTGCTACCACGCCCAGCAAAATAGGGTTGTCCAATAAAATACCAAAAGAAGCAGGGCAAAGGTATTGGTTTTAGGAGGGTACAGTGCTTGCCTGGTATACACAAGATAGGTAAACACACGCACACACACACACACACACACACACACACACACACACACACACACTAAAAGAAATTTAAGTAGGCGTTGGAGCTGTGTGGGTTTATTTCCAGGGACTCTGTCCTGTTCCATTGGTCTCCACGCCTGTTTTGTGCCAGTACCATGCTGACTTGGTTACTTTGGTTCTGTAGTATAATTTGAGGTCAGGTTATGTTATCTCTAGCACTGTTCTTTCTTTTAAGGATTGCTTTGGAGACTTAGGATCTTTCCTGTTTCCACATAAATTATGGGGGGGGTGACACTGTAGAGGATTTTATTGATATTTGCATCAAGTCTAGATGCTGTTTTCAGCCACGTAGCCATTCTCACTATTAATTCTGTCAATCCATGAGCAACGGAGATCTTTCCATCTTCTAGTATCTTCTTTAATTTCTGTCTTCCGTGTCTACATTTCCATTGTCTTCTGTCTTTCTCCTTCTTGATTTCATTATTCCCACTTCCCTTGTCTAGGAAAGGGTGCTGCCTTGAAGCTACTGTGGATAGAAGCTTTCCTTGATTTCTTTCTCAGCATCATCATCGCTTGCAAATAGAAAGGCTGCTGAGCTTTGTATGTTGACGTTATATCCTGCTGCTTTGCTGGGACCCCTCATCACGTCTGAGTTTCCTGATAGAGTCCTCGGGTTGGTATTCCTCGACTTTTCCCATGCACACTCGATTGTTGAATCTAACTAGATAGTTCTCAATAATAGAAAGCATTTCATATTTCTCTTTAGTGTCCTGTTTAAAATTTTATTGCATTATATGTATAATAGACACCAGTAAGTATAATTGAATAAATTAGATTTCCCTTTGATGTGGCCTAAGATGAGCTAATAAAACACAACTGAAAAGTATCTGGCTAGACACATGACTTAATGATAGAGTGCCAACCTAAAATGCATGAGGTCCTCTGGTCTCAGCACATTGTTTAAAAAGTATTAGGTTTTCGTTTTGCATCTAGGACTAGAGTGCAACACAGGTTGCCTATTTTCGTTTCTCTCATTCACCAGCATTTGGCATTTATAACAATATTAAAGTGTCAACTGTAAAATCAAATGCAAGTGAGTCATTAAAATTCTCAATATAATCTGATGTCTGCCAAAAGCAATATTATCTCATTGATACGACAATATATAGCCATTAAAGGAATCATAACATAAATTTACTTTTTCCCCCAGAAAATACAGCCTATGGTTACATTAGACCTGAAGAAACACACATGGCCCCCTCCCCACCCCACATCCACACCGTGGATGGACCCAGCAGGCAAATAGTGAGGAAAAAATAAACACAGGGTTTGTTAAATGCTATGCCGTTTCCTTGGTACTAAAGATAGCATGTTTTATAGTTGCATGGCAACAATGAGCGACCAAAGATGACAAGTGGAGGAAGAAATAACTCAGCTGAAATTCAAGTAAAATTTGCCAGGAATAATAATTGCAAATAGCAAAGTGAGACATGGAAGGGAGGGGACAAAGTGACAGAGTGTGAAGAATGAAGCCAGCAAAGCCACAGCACATGCTCAGTGAGCCCACTGGGAGCTGGCTCTGTGTCGGCCTTTGTTGTAGAATACAGTGTTTGTTTAGCTAAGTGAAAATGTGTTTCATTTGTGTTGCAGAATAGTGTTTAGCTATGTAAAGATGGGTTGCATTTGCTTGTGCTGCATTTGTTTAATTATGCAAACATGTGTTGCCGGTTCACCTTGCCTGCCTAAGGCACCTGATGGGTCTGATAAAAAGCTGAATATCCAACAGCTAGGCAGAGGAGAGATAAGCGGGACTGGCAGGCAGAGAGAAAAGGGAGCCATCCAGATGGGGGCCAGACAGACAGACAGAGAAAGCAGGATGGACAGCACTTAGATGAGGTAGACAGCTTCAGGGCAGAACATAGACTAATAGAAATGGGTTAAGTTAAGTTAAAAGCAAAACTAGCTAGAAACAAGCCTAAAGCTAAGACTGAGTATTCATAATTAATAATAAGTCTCTGAGTCATGATTTGGGGTCTGGCAGTCCAAGAGAGCCTGCTACATGTCTTAGTCCTCAGAATTTCACGTCATCTCAGCCATGGCTCTGTGTGGTGGAATATTTTTATTTTTTGATTTTTTTTGGGGGGGGGCACACTCTCACATATACCAGGCTGACCTCAAGGTGACTGTGCAGCTGAGGATGACCTTAACATTCTGACCTCTCCTCTCTCCACCTCCAAAAGCTGGGATTTCAGGCATAAGCCATATGCCTGGTGCATGTGGTAAAGGAGATTAAACACTGGGCTCCAT